CTCGGCAGTGCACTCGGCCGAGGAAAAGTGCACTCGGCCGAGAAGTCTCGGCCATGTGCACACCTCGGCTGTGCACTCGGCCAAGAAGTCTCGGCCAGGTGTGCACCTCGGCTGTGCACTCGGCCGAGGAAAAGTGCACTCGGCCGAGAAGTCTCGGCCATGTGCACACCTCGGTTGTGTACTCGGCCGAGGAAATGTGCACTCGGCCGAGAAATCTCGGCCATGTGCACACCTCGGCAATGCACTCGGCCGAGAAGTCTCGGCCATGTGCACATCTCGGCTGTGCACTCGGCCGAGGAAATGTGCACTTGGGCAGCCGATCCGGGCAGGTGTTTTCTTGGGTTCCCGACACAACTTTTCGATCTACACGCAATGGCTTGCCGTGGGAAGGCCAACTTTGACCGCGGGACGACAACATTGGCTCACAATGGATCCTCATTTGCTCATGTGGTTTGGTACATGGATCCTCTCATTCATGTGTTGGCCATGAAAGCATTGAAGACTTGGATGGAGGGGGACTTGGCAAATAATAGAGGCACAGTTAGTGGGGACTTGGGCATGTAAGGGACACATAGTTGATCTATCATCGTATTGTTCCCCGTGAGTTGGGACTTGGGCATATTAAGTCGTGGATGGTGGCGGCTAAGCCTCGCTTGATGTTGAGGGAGTTTGATGATGGGGAGGGACGAATCTGAGCGACATAGGGCTGAATCTCAGTGGATCATGGCAGCAAGGCCACTCTGCCACTTACAATACCCCGTCGCGTATTTAAGTCGTCTGCAAAGGATTCTATCCGCTGCTCGGTGGAAATAGTACTTCAAGGCGGCCCGTCGGACTCATCCGCCCGCGGGCTTCACCTACGACACGTGCCTTTGGGAGCCGGAGGGCTCCTACTGCTGGTCGACAATCGGGCAGCGGACACACGCGTCGGTGCCAGCCCGGATTCTGACTTAGAGGCGTTCAGTCATAATCCAGCGCACGGTAGCTTCGCATCATGGAAGAGGGAACTATCGCACAAGAACGAAACGAACAGGCTCAAATCTCACATAGCTACCTATATGCTCTATCTCACATTCTGATACCCTGAACTAGATGCATAAACGACTGTCAAGAACAAGTAATCAATCCAAGTAATCAATCCAAGTCACAGTTGGTAAGCAAACAGTTGAAAAACTGAACCCCTACACAATTCTACTGCACGTCTCAGTCCTCATCATAGGTTGTCCTAGTCACAATCAAGCTGTCATGCATCAATCCGAAAACC